CTTTTATATTAATTTACTTGAAGTGCCTTAAAAAAAGGGAGACGTCACAAGATTATCAATTAGGCAGCCACAAATTAATTAGGGAAAATCAAACAGTAGTACAATGAGGAATCCTTAAAAATAAAAATTAAAAATGAGAATCTGATGAGAAAAAAAAATTAAACGAAAGACTATCTTAAAACTATATATGCCATTTAAATGAAATTTCTATTAAAAAAATGTTTTAGTTAATTCAATTTAGGTAGAACAAAGTTTTCAAAGTAATAATTCCAAAAACAACGAGTAAAAATCTCGGGCATGAGACTATTAGATATAAGAAAATTATTTATTTTTTTGGATATAAAAAGTTACATGCTTTTTTATGATACACTTCAAAGCGAACATAATTGACGGAATTGCGTACCTGTAGGTCTAGAAGAGGGTTTTGAAGAAATTAGATATTAAGAAACAAATTAAGCCCAGAAAATTAGAAAGGAGCATCCAGCAGATCTGCTTGATTGCAATCGCAAGCCTACTCTTTCTTAAAAAGGAGGTTCAAGGATATTTCCTGAAAGAAAAACGTGACTCAAATATGATCATTAAATAGGAGACAAATACTTCTATATTAATTTATTTGAAGTGATTAGTGACCATAAAAAAATAAAAAATTAAAAAGGAGACAAAGACGTCAAATGGAGGATCAATTAAAATAAGAATCTGAAGAGAAACGAAGAAAACATAAACTAAATCGAATAATATGGTCATGAATTACTCCATAAGAAACACTTAGATATATATCAACAAAAAATAGACAGAATCTTGAAGATATGGATAGATAGTGTACTTACATGCAGGATTAGCTGAAGAAATAGGTAAAGTTGGACACTGATAACCAACTTGGGCCAAGCAAAGCAAATTATTAGGAGTAGGAGCAGGTTTAATTTCTGATGCGAGGAGTTGATGAGCCAACTAAGGAGAGGATACAACTTAAATAGGCACGAGCTAGGCAATTGCTGGGTGTATTTCCTGGAAGATGCTTAGCAAATACAAGCGAAATCAACAATAGAAGCTTATTGTATCAAAAAGAAAGACTCGAAAGGTGAAAGTTGCAAAACACAAGAAAACAAGCATTAATATTTCACACCTATCCGTATAAATATTTTATATTTTATATTATGTAATAGGGTTATAATAAAATTATAAATTTATAAATTTATGATCATGATATATTATTAAAAAATATAATAA